AAAGTTTTACTTGTTTTGTTTCTGAGTGCAGTTACTTAACCAAAAAAAAATTCTACATTTGTAAATTGCACTTTCACGATAGAGATTGCACTACAGTACTTGTATGAGGTGAATTGAAACATTCTATTTCTTTTATGATTTTTACAGTGCAAATATTTGTAATCAAAATAATAAAAAGTGAGCACTGTACACTTTGTATTCTGTGTTGTAACTGAAATCGATATATTTGAAAATGTAGAAAAAAATCCAAAAATATTTAATAGATTTCAATTAGTAGTCGGCTGTTTTAACAGCACAATTAATTTTTTTGAGTTAACCGCATGAGTTAACTGCGATTAATCGACAGCCCTATTGCAAATTTACTTAATTTCTGCCAGTGAAAGCCACGTATTGGACTGCAAAGCATAATTAGCATGCAGCGCTGCTGGGCACTGTGAAACGTTCCTCTGTGTATTGAAGTGCCCCGGTAGGGTGCAAGGTGAATCGCCATTGTCAGTGTCTCTGCTAGTGTCTGGGAGATGAACACTACTGTAGCGTTTTCTGAGCAGCCAGGCTTGGATCTCCCTAGAGCTAAGATTCCCCATTCCATAGTGCAGATCCAAGTGTCCTTTTTTCCAAGTGTGCTGTTGCTAATTTGCCTGGCTGATTGCTTTCAGTCTTCCTTCTGCTGCTATCCAAAGGCATTTGTATTTGGCGGACAGCTCTTCACCTACCTGCTCCCAATCCCGGTTCTTCCTAACTGGTTCTGTGGTTAGATCTAATGCAGTCCAGCTGCCACATAAGCAGATGTGATGCCCTGAACTCAACATCAGGACATCCCTGGGGAATGCCTGGCAAGGGGGAGAAATGGACTGGGACCGCGTGTGGTGGTTTTGCTCAGGAAGCCATTCGCCTGCCAGCCTTTGTTGTTCACTTCCCTGCTGTGTTGGTTGAAGTGAAGAAGCAGATCTAGGTGACTGCTGTGCAATCAGGTACTTCTGCCTGCGCCAATATCTCTGTCAAATCTCAGGCAGAGAGATTCTCAGGCCGGAAGGGACCATTGTGATCATCTAGTCTCCCCTCCTGTACAACACCGGCCAGAGACCGTCCCCAATATAATTCCTAGAGCAGAGCTTTTAGAAAAACATCCCATCTGGATTTAACAATGGACGGTGATGGAGAATCCACCACGACCCTTGGTAAGTTGTTCCGATGGTTAACTACCCTCACCGTTAAAAAATGTATACCTTATTTCCAGCCTGAATTTGTCCAGCTTTAACTTCCGGTAATTGGATCATGTTATAGGCGAGATAGGAATGACAGGTGGTTGGGTTAAAAAAAAAAAAAATCACCCTTTTTCAAGTGGTTTTTTTAATGGAAGAACCAGGGAGAGACTTGCAGGGCTACAGAATGGAGGCACTTACAAAATCATGGTACACCTAGCTCAGCAGTTACTGCTCTCTGTATAGAGAAGATATGAAAAGGACCGGTGTCACACCTCCTAATGCGGCTGAATGGACTGATACTACAGCTGTTCTTCTGGGCGAGGAGAGTTGTTTGACGTGGGGTACAATTCTTGCCAAATATCCGCATTCTACTGTGATAAAAGGAAAAAATTCCTGCCTTGTCATTACTATCCATCTATCTTGGGTGCTTCACTGCAGTGTCTGAGTACCTCACAATCTTCCATGTATTTACCTGCCCAACCCCGCTGCGAGTCAGGGCTGTGTTGATATCCGTTTCGCAGGTGGGCAGCTGATGCACAGAATAAGTGACTTGCTCAAAATCACACAGGAAATCTGTGGCAGAGCAAGGACTCAAACTTGGGTCTCTCAGGATCCACGCCAGTGCCTGACCACTGGATAATCCTTCCTCTCTGCTACTAATGAACACTTCAGATGGGTGGAGGGTGGAAATTAAAACTCTAGCTTCCATTCTGCCACTTTATTCTTTCTGTCCGAACTGGGAGAAATTCAGAAAGGAAAGTAGGCTGCTTGGTTTTGCACCCTTGTGCTCTAGCAGCCCAATCTGCAGGCAGTGTTTGGGTTGCAGAAACTTTTCCCTGTTGGTAACATGCCCTGGGTGGTCACCATGCTGGGCCGGAGGCAACAGGTGTAGAACAAATCAGAATCTCTGTCCCAAAGAGCTTGCATGTGGGAGAGGGGAGCGGAATGGGGGATGGGGGGACATGCAGTTCATAGGCTGGTTGTGGCCTAGAATTAGAACAGGTGGATCGTCAGGAGATATCTCTGGGGGAGGGTGCCTGGCAGACTGTGTAAGGAGTGGCAAGAAGGGGAGTTACGAGAGTCAAGGGCGTGGGAGGAGATTGGGAAAGAAGTGTAGGCTGGGGGTGTGGCTGTGCAGAGTTCTGCAAGTGAGGGGGCACGTTTAGTACCTGCTGTGGAAGGAGAGCGGACGCTGCAGTGACAGGACCTAAGAAGCCAGGAGACATGATTGGAAGGAGAGGTGGTTTTGGTGCCAGAGCTTTGAAGGGGCTGCAGGAAGGGGGTTCAGGAATCCAGGTATGGCCCAGGCTTCTGCTGAGGGGAGGGATGGTTTTAAGGCAAGGAGCACCGGGATTTGGTCACAGCTTGGCTGTGGGGGGAGAATTTCTAGCACTTCGGTCGAGGTTTTCAAAGTGCTTTCCAGAGCTGGGTACATGCCCCGCTTCATGAATAGGGAAAGTGATGCACAGAGGAGAAATGATTTAGGAAAGTTCTTGTCCTGCAGGGAGGGTGTCGTCTTGGCATGGCACGAGTGCCCCATCGTGCTAGGTGGTGTACGAACAAATGCGGAAGAAAACAATGGTCCTTTTCCCGACGGCTGCTGAGCACTGCCTCTGTAAGGGGGGTGGTCCTGGTAAGCTGGAGTCACAGGTAGAATCCTCAGCTGTGACTGTAGGAAAATGGGGAGGAAATTCAGGAGCTGTGTCCCAGATGTTTAATTTGAGGCTGCCCCTCAGCAGGAGAGCTCGGGAAGGCAGCGGGATGCTGCAGAGGAATGTTTTAAATTCAGCCCTGAAACCAAACTGTGCACTTTGTTAAATTAAAAAAAATTGTATTTTGTTTTACTAAAAAAAACACAAAACAACCTCTTAAAGGGATTGTCACCTTATTTTCAGACAGTTGTGAGATCTTGTTTTCCCTGTTACAAGCAATGCCTGATGTTTAACATGCCACTGAAGGAGATTGGAGAAGCGATTATCTTTTTTTCAGCTCATAAGCAATTAAGAGGCGTCTTCATTTTGTTTCCCGTTTGCTAACTTTGCGGACTTCATGCCTTTGGCAATTTTTCCTGTCGTTTGTGTGGATTTTTCCAGAGGGGAATATATATCTATTTAAGTGTTGCAAAACCACAAAAACTCACAGGTGGCCTATGGGAGTGTTGGGCCTGAAACAGTTTAGTCTAGATTTCACGTTGATGTCACTTGAAAAGGGTTTGAACTGCCTCTTAGCTTTTTTTGGCCTAAGCTCCCCTCTGAAGGTCAGGAACTGTTAGTGCACATCGGCAGGGTCCCCGTGGACAGTTAATACGCGGCGGCAGGCTAGTGCGAGGTAGATATACACCCCACCTTGCCGTGAAGTAAATGTTTGTGTAGACAAGACCATGTTTGCTGTGTAGTGACAATGCCCTGGCCCGTTGCTCACCATGGTTCTGATGTCCACCATCTTAGTGTCCAGTAAGTCACTCACGGTCTGGGAGTAGCATATTCAGCTGGTAGGAGGGAAAGTGGGGGAAGGATGATGCACGGGGGGGGGGGGGGAGAATGTGTTTTGCAGCCTGACCTTTCTGGCCATTTGCTAGTGGGGTGACTGGCCTTATATGCTGGGGTTGCCTGTGATATCAGAGGCCTGGACTCTGACCCAGGAGGTCCTTTCCAGTCCTATGGTCCTAAAGGCAGTGGAACAAGGACTTCCCTTTGGCAGCGTGTAGTTCCTCCATTAAAGAAGAAAATTCTGGGAGGGGAGCTGAGATTTTCTTTTGCTGATTTCTGTGATGGTGCAGATAGTTTTTCCAGGTTTCAGAGTAGCAGCCGTGTTAGTCTGTATCCGCAAAAGAAAAAGGAGGACTTGTGGCACCTTAGAGACTGACAAATTTATTTGAGCATAAGCTTTCGTGAGCTACAGCTCACTTCATTGGAGCATCTGATGAAGTGAGCTGTAGCTCACGAAAGCTTATGCTCAAATAAATTTGTCAGTCTCTAAGGTGCCACAAGTCCTCCTTTTCTTTTTGTAGTTTTTCCAGTTATTCTTTCCCCTCCTCTTGCTGTTATTGGCTAAATGAGCCGCTTCCCGGTGTGAAATGACTAGGAGCGGCCCTCTTCTGTGCCAGGTTGCTGGATGTTGGAACTGACAGTGGAGAAGAGCGAGTTTAGGGAACGCTGTTCTGTATAGGACCTGGCCACACCGGTAAAGCGCTAACGTCGAATATTCTCTTTTGTGAATAAGAGCGAACTGTTCAGTAGAGCTTGGTTTTATCTGATTCCGGATGGGCTTCTTTGATGAGTGTCTTGCATAAGAACTACGTCAGGAGAGGGTCTTTATATAGATTAGCCTACTCAGGGCCAAGGAGTGTGAATCGCAAAGCTGCTTCTGCCCTGGGTCTCCAGACAAGCAGGGTTGAGGGCGTGAAAACTTTAACGGATGTGTCCAGTGTTCCGGATGTCCTGAGGGCAAGCTGGGTCCCATCCAGAATTCTCTCTTTACCATGGACTCACCATATTGGAGGGAGTGGGTCTGTCTCCTTAAGGTGGTTTTTCGCCTTCCTCTGTAGCATGGGGCACGGGTCACTTGCTGGAGGATTCTCTGCTCCTTGAAGTCTTTAAACCACGATTTGAGGACTTCAATAGCTCAGACATAAGTGTAAGGTTTTTCGCAGGAGTGGGTTGGTGAGATTCTGTGGCCTGTGTTGTACAGGAGGTCGGACTAGATGATCCTAATGGTCCCTCCTGACCTGAGTATCTCTGAATCTATGAAAAAAAAAAGACTCCAGCTGACTGGTTCTCTTCTGCTCCCTCGTAGGCAAAGCCCATCTACGGCGGTTGGCTGCTGCTGGCACCAGAAGGGACGGACTTTGACAACCCTGTGCACCGTTCCCGGGTAAGGAAAGCAGAATCTTTCTCCTTCTACTCTAGCTGTTGTGGCAGATGAAGCATGGGATGGGGTGGAGGAGGACACATGGGAAGCACAGGGAGGTATTCCGGGAGGTTTGTTGCTCCTTCGTTATTCCAAACTCCTCTCTCCCACATATTCAGCAGTAATCCAGTCCCACTGCACGTGCCCCGGTTTGCTAGGAGATGTGTTGGCTGATGCTTGGCGTCCCAAGGAAATCAGGCCAAAGGGCAATGCCCCCTGTGCGTGGTGTAGATAGTAATGGAATAGTCTTCTGTCGGTGGGAGAGATCCAGCAGCGAATGGGTTAAGAGACCTTCCCACGTGCTAGAATCGGAAAGGTAACAGCTGTCCTGCTGGCGGCCAGCAGAATGTGTGCTGACTTTCCTTCCTTCTTTCCAGCTGCAGAGTTGTACTGAGAGCTCTAGGTACGGTCCTGAGATCGCTTCTCTAGGTAGGCGGTTGCTGTAGTTGCCAGTATGGTGCTAGGGTCTCGTGCCCGGGAAGGGAAGTGCTGTGAGTGGGACGGTGTCCAAGGCTATGTTTGTAATGTGAGCCATAATGATAAATTATTACTGAGTTGGGCTCAAGCCACAGAATCTGGATCCCAAGTATGAAACCTCCCCCCGCAGTTTAGAGGGAGTTTGGAGCGTTGGTGGGGACCCAGCTTGAATGATCATGTGTCCCTTAGTCAGCATTGTAAATCATACAGGGCAGTGCAGGGCCAAGCAAGTATCTGGCACTGATACTACAGACAAATGGCATTGATGTGGTGGCAAATGGCAACACACAGACATGAGACCTCCTAGGCTGCCCGCAAACATGTGGGGTCTTGGCAGGTGTTTGATGGAGTAGGTGGCTCATGCCCATGTCTGCCTCACCAGCCTGGAGACTCGGAGCATTCTAGTGATGCCGTTCAGGAGGGTGGCAATCTTGGGGCAGGCCAATTGTAGTTGGCTAGGCACCCCACATGACTGTAAGAAAGAACCATCTTCGTGTTAGCGAGAGACAGTCCAAGTGAGATTCTCCAGCTCCCAGCTGTGTGAAGGCTGGGGATCTGGGGCTGAGACATCCCTGCTGGAGCACAGGAGGTGTGAGACTATAATTCACCTGGGAGGGTGGGGTGAGGCTGCCTGAGATCTGCATGCTGAGAATAAGGGTGGGGTGGGGGAATCTTCCAGTTTCCGTGGAACTTCTCTGGGCCCTAGGCACACTGGATTTCCCCTAATGCTGCAGGCATAGGACATGCTTGAATAAATGCAGGGGAGGGGGAAGAGGGGGCTGACAGTCAGGTAGGCTGGGATAATGCACCCTAGACAGAGTGGAGGCTGGTGGTGGGTTTCTGGGGGAAAGAGGAGCTTTGCTGGGGGAGAGAACCACGTTTCCAGTCTAAGGGGCCGAGGTTTGCACCAGGCTCTTGCTTCTCGGCCCAGCGTCGGAGCCTCCGCTCTTCCCTTTCTCTGTACGTCTGCCTGGCACCAGCATGTGCTCCTCTAATCTTTGCCACCTCGCCTTGGAGCAAATCCTTCTGAGCCACTTCCTGTGTTATCGGAGATGCAGCTGACATAACTCGGGATCTGGCTGCAAATAATGCAGCACTTCTTTGGATGCCCATGTAAGGAAGTCAGACAGTAAATCAGCTTTAGAAAACTCAGACTGGTGTGAGCGAGGGCCTCCCGCGGAGCCCTGGCAGGGTCACCCGACGGGGAACGTGCTTTCTAGAGCCGCTGCTATCCACCCGTCCCCCCCCATTAATGATACTGTGCCATTCTTGACAACGCCGAAAGGTAATGCATGCCAAGGTATGCTGGGCGGTGTTTGCAGGGCAAACCGCTCCCATGGCCTGATGCATGCCTGAGAGTGTGTCGGTTATAACATGGCCAGGCTGTTCCTCGGCAGGCTGCTGCGCGAGCAGGGTTGGTTTCAGGGGAACCGGGCTCCAGATGGCCAGCTAGATCGCCTTTGAAAACCAGGGCAGCGCTAGTCGCCCTAGTGCTTGGCCAGAGTACATGCATGCTCTGGCAGTGTCCCCCTTCCCTAGGAGTCACCTTCCGCTCCCTGGGAACCCCATGCCGGTTGTGGTTCTGCAGCCTACCCCCCACCACGCTGGGTCCCTTCTGCTGCTGATTCGTATACGGCTGGCAGCAGAGCATCCTGAGGATGAAGAGGACGCTGGGTTGTGTGATGTGGCAGAGCTCTCCTTTTGTGGAAGGATCCAGCTCCTTTCTCCCAATGGCCAGACCTAGGAAAGGAAGCTGACTCGATCCATAGCAGTGTTCTGGCCAGCGTGAGAGGGAAAGGAGCTCTGTTTACCAGCCTTGGTGTCTTCTCTTCCAGAAATGGCAGCGCCGGTTCTTCATCCTCTACGAACATGGTCTCCTGCGCTATGCCCTGGACGAGATGGTAAGTGGCACCTCCTGGAGGTGGGCGTCCCCTGCTCCCTGTTTATTTCCCTGGTGTGCTGGCTGCCTCCTCCGTGCTGCTGAGAGGGAGGGCTGGAAACGGGCCGCAGCCCGCCCTGTGGCGGCTGTGCGAAGCCCATGGCGGCTGGCGCACTGAGGACTGTGATCGCCGGGAGCGGCGTTGGGTATGGCTGGCATGAGGCCAGGCTTTGCCAGACAGTTGCGGAGCGTGGCAAACAGCCCTGTGCCACACAGCCTGGGGGCCTGAGGAGCAGAGTGGCTGTGCTGGGCTTTGGTGCGGGGCTGGCCTTGGCGGAAACGGGTCCCTGAGGCAGGGCCTGAAGCGTCAAGTCTAGCTTGGTCAGGGTGTATCACAGTCAGTGTCTGGCCTGGCCCTAGAGATTCCAGCCTTGGCCCCTTCAGGCCTGAAGCCATTGCTGCTGACCGGCAGGTCCCTTACTGGGTAGGAGGAGGGGCTGGCTCAAACGGGAGCTCTGCCCGTGGAGGGGAAGCGTGTGTGCCTCAGGTTCTCACAAGGGCAATGGGAAAGGGATGGTGTGCCCACCCCCCCCCATGATCCCAAATGTTGGAGGCACGTGGGAAACGTGCAGTGCCTGCCCTCCGGCTGGCGGGAGGGGAATGGGTCGCCCCAGGAGGCCTGGCCTGAGACAGCATGGCCCCGTTCCAGGGATCCTTCCTGTTCCTAGAGTCTCTTGGTTTCCTTGCTGGGTGTTTTGGGTTGTTGGAGGATTGTGGCTGTGAAGCATCAGACCCTTCTGTAGCAGTGCCCAGAAAAAGTAGGTCAGTTGGGACGTTTCCCTGCTTCTCTCTCCTTCTCAGGGACTTGGATTCCTGTGATCTGGGCGGCAGGGCTCCATTCACCATGAAAACCCGCTCTTGTGCGAGCGGAGCTGCAGCTCTGGGTCGTTTGGCCAGCTCCGGCATGATTGGCTGGGGCTGCGGCTTTTATCCTCCAGAGTTAAACAAGCCCGGGGGTTTTATGTCTCCCTGTGCTGGGCCTAGTGCTTTCCTGTTCCAAGGGGGAGGTGTTCTAGGGGGTGTGTGTGTGTGTGTGCGACAGGGCTGTGCAAAGGCAGGCGTGTTGGGGCGGTGTGTGCAAGTACATGCATGTCGTGGGGCCGGGTCTGGGGGAGTGTGTGAGAGGCTCAGTCACGCTATGTGTCTGGGGTGGAGGGCGCCTTTTAGCTTCCCAGCTCTCCCCTGCCCCGGGGCAGAGTGGGCTGGGTGACGTGCTTTTACACGATGGCTTGTACCCAGAGGGAGCGGATCCGTGCTCTGAGCCTGCCTGTGCCCCACTTGCTGTCTGCAAACTGGGCTCTTCGCCTGACCCTGAATTGCTGCTTAGTGTTAGCTCCCAGTGGCTGCAATAGCTCTGAGCTGGCGTTTCCCTGCCCTTCTGGGGAATGGGCCTTGCATTCCACACTCCCTGCAGACACTTCACCTCCCCACCCATGGGGCGCTGTCCTTGAATGGCTTCCCTGCCAACGCCCCCTCGTTCCATGTCGGGACATCCCCAGGGCAATTATTTGCAAGAATTTGAGCCTGCATGTGAAAACAAAGGACGCAATTTCCAAAGCGAGTCTCTGTCTCGCTCTCTTTCTTTTCTCTTCTGGGGGTTGATCCAAGTCCCCTAAATAATTTACACTGCTCAGGCAGAAGCAGCAGAGCCTTGCAATACATTTTTAGTATCTCGGCAACCTGGCTGGGGTAATATGTCAGGGGGGATACAAACGGAAGGCTATGCTCTGCTGGCTTATAGAGAAGAGACCAAATCCTAGGAAGGCCCAGGAGGGAGGATTAGGGGGATGCTGGGAAACTCTCTGCTTGCTTAGTGGCTCCGCTCGCCTATTCAGAAGGCCTTTAAAAGCTGTATCGAGGCTGGTTTATTTCCATAGGCCCTGTATAGGGGTGATCCCAGTGGACTGGCGCTGCTGGTGGCAGCATGGCCTAGTGGCTATGCTGCAAGGTGTGTAGTCTCTGAATTTCTTGGTGGTGTTGGTGTCTCGAGAGCTCATGTAGGGCTGAGGGTCGCCCATGCTGGTTTCCTGGGAGCAAGATGCAGCCCCACGCTCTCTGGGATGCTTAAGAGAGTCCACGTAACTGAGGCTTCGTCTGTATTAGGGCTTCAGCTTCCGATGTTAACTGTGCTGGTGCAAACACTGTTTACACCGGCCTGGTGTAACTTGCACCAGTGCAGCCTACTCTGATTTGTACCCGTACACGTCCTGGTTTACACCGTTTGCTAAGGGTTTGCTCTGTTGCAGCTAGCTTAAGTTCTGAGTAGCTGAGTCCTGAATGAGGCTCCTTATCTGTGTGGAAGGGACAGGCCCACTCTAGCCAGCATGGTCCATCAGAGCTCACCTCTTCGGGCACTCTTCCCCATATGAGGTTTAACATGCTTGGCCTGAGATGACTGGGGTTCCCTTCCCATTGCTGTGTTAGTGGCTCTAGCCAAAGAGGAATGCTCTTTAGTCATGGGAGTTGGTTGCAACCACAGGCTGAACAAGCAGCCCTCTTTGCAAAGAGCATGGGAAACTGAGGCACAGAGGGGTGGCGTGACCTGCTCAGAGGTCACCCAGCCAGTCAGGAACAGAACTGCTGACTCCCAACTCTGTGCCCTGTCCTGACCCTTGCTGCCCCTCGCGACTGTGCAGGAGGACGGTAGGTCTGAACTCCTGCATTCAGGTGCTGAAGGGAATTGGGTGTGCAATTGCTAACTGGAAGTGCTGGTGGCCCAGGCCGCCCTATGCTGCAGGGGAACAGTGCTTGATGAAGGGCAAAGAGGTCAAACCACAATTCCCCAGGTACCTCGAGGGCTGGCAGAGCTTAAAGGGAAAAGATGGAAAAACAAACAAGTAGAAAGCGAGGGAAATGCATGTGAATGTGTGTAATAGAAGTCTGGGTCTATGGGTAAGCTGGATCCCTCTGCGCAGACCCAAGACAGCTTCCCACATGCAAGTGTCTTATCGGTTCTTTGGCTGGCTGGCTTTCCTGCTCTCTGCCAGTTCTAAAACCTCCCTCTTTGCAGGAGCAGAGGAAGGGCTAGAGGCGAAGGCGCCAACTCGGCATGAACTCCTGATCCTGCTCGTACTCTATGACGGAGTTCCTTAAAACTGACCGATGGTGCCTAATGGAATCTGCCCCAGACCCTTACTTTCAGCAGTGTGCGTAATGTCTCTTCTCTCCGGAGTGGGGTGAGCTCCAGGTCTGTGGAAGATTACTTTAGCCTTCGGATTGCTCTGCTAACGCGTCCTGAGAACGAGGATCAGCCTTGGCAGTGGACAGAGCACTGGCCTAGGGCTCCTAGGTTCTATTTCCAGCTCTGCCACTGGCCTGGTGCTTGACCTTGGACAAGTCACTTCACTCCTCTGTGCCTCAGTTTCCCCATCTGTAAAATGCAGGTGGGGATACTCCTTAGAAAAGATCTATAGTTGAAAAGCGCTCTAGAAGAGGCAGCTTTTTTATGTTGAACATTCATGTCTTGCTTGATGGCCCCAACATGGTGCGGGGGGGTGTGTCTCCCCCTGCAGTGTCTGGTCAGGCTCTGGGGCTCAGTCTTCAGTTTTAGGCTTTGCAGCAGGAGGAGCACCCCTGGGAGGTCTGTGTCCAGCATGGAAAGCTCTGATGGGGCCGGCAGTACAGCGAGCCAGTGTCAAAGGGAGCAGTAGGAGCCAAGTGGTGATTGCTCTGCCCCATGGACAGAGCGTGCTGGCTGAGTGCCTTTGGTGTGGCTAGGGCAGCATCACTTATCGTGGGGTATGAGCAGTCACAGTGCGTCCTGCTAAATGGTGGGGCCTGTAGCTGTGACTCTGTGAAGTAGACAGAGGGCTGTATTCCTCCAGGCTCTCAGCTGCCACACAGTGGGGAGAGGGGGAGCCCTACGGTGGGGGGTTCTTGATGGGAGACCTTGATTCTGGGTGAAGGGGCTGTGTCTTGCCCCACATCTGGGATGTGATGTTCCAAACCCCCTGAGGTCAGCAGAAGGAGGTAGTCCTCTCTCTTCTCCCTTGCCCTGGCTGGTTCAGAGCCCACCCTCCACCTTGTTCTGACACGTTCTGCAAAAATACCCCGCCAGCCTTTCCCAAAGAGTAACCCCTCTGCACCCTGGCTGGCATTCAGACTGATTTAAAGGTATCGCTGCTTCAATGCAAGAGCCTGTGGGTGGCTGCCCGGTGATTGCCATCCTGCCTGGTCTGAGCGTGACCGCTGGACACAGCTGTGGTGGGGAGAGCTATGGGCCAACTGCAGCTCTGCTAGGATCTCCTGCCGACTGTCTCTCTCCTCTGCTCACCTGGGTGAACAAACATGGGCAGACCTCTTGGCCTGCTGCACAGCGCCCCCTCCAGTTAATTGGAGTCTCTGCATGCACTGGTCAGGTGGGTGTTCCGGTGTGAGAGAAGGTGGTTTGAGGCTTGACTTGCAGCCTGGCTGGTGGATATTTTGCAGGGATTGTGGAGCAGAGGGACTTTCTGTCTCAGGACAAAGCCATGGCCAAGAGGAGACAAAGGGGTTATTTATCTCGTACGCCAAGGTCTAAAGGCAGGGAGGAGATGTGGAAGAAGAGGGTGATCTTTCTCCCTGTGCAGAGTATGGGAAAACCTCATGCTGAGCATCCTCTGCTTGACCCTGGGGGAGTTGTGTTTGCAGAACGGCCAGTCCCTGAACCTTTGGGATCCAATGCCAGATCTGTTAGCGCATGGACTCCGAGGAACAAGGGGACCCTGCCTCCCCTCCCCTTCCTTCTCACTCCAGTCGCACCAGTGCCAAAGTGAGCTTGTTCTGAGCTGGCCCGTCCTGGAAGCTACGGGGGTTCATGTAACCCTGGAGCCCTCGTTCCAGAGGCAGATTTATCCTCCGTGGATCAGAGCTGGGTTATCTGGGAGTCAGAACATGCTGAGCTCTTGGTCTGGTTTTGTCTGTCTTGCGTGCTGGGAGGCATGTTTACAATGGGCTCAGATAATTCCTGCAAGGATTTTCTGC